CACCTCCTTGCCACATTTTTCCCTCTAAAAATCCCCATTTTGGCCCCAATTTTATTTTCCTATAGCGAGCCAATCTCTCAATTAAAGCTCTTATAAGAGAGAAGGGGGACCCGCTTACCGTTTATACATATATATATATATGTATTTACACAAACACACATACACATATATATATATATTCCCTTTCCTCTTTTTTCCAAGGAATCCAACCCCAGGCAATCTCACTTTCCCTCCCTCTCCACCTCGCCTTCAAACTTATCCCCCCTCCATAATATTTGGGTGCTTAACTCCCAAGCAGAGCTCGCTGCACTTTATTATCGATATTTTACACTCTCGAAGTCTTTTAATTAGAAAGAGCATAACAAGCCATATTTGCTTGCAACAACTTAACAAATAAAAGGCCTGTAGCTGCAACTGTGAAGGAGCTATATTATTGTTTTTATGGGGCCATAAAAAGTCGCTCAGCCTGTTCTGCTAGGGAGAAGGTCGTAAAGATGGTTCAGTTTATTTAATTTATATCTCCAAGCTGTAAAACTTACCACTGTGGGAGTTCATACGCTGCATCCATGGATATATTTGAATGCTAGTTTTTTGTTCTTGCGAAGTGTTCCTGTTTTGGTCACTGGTAAAATCCTGTGCGATTGATGTCTGTGTATTATGTCCCATAGAATTTTGCCTGCAGCTAGAAAGCATGTCTTTTTCTTGGTAAAAAGCATTAGATCCATAGTCATAAGGTCCTCGGCTGGAGCTAAACACAACATTATCTTGCGGTGAATAAAAAGGAGACGAATAAATCCGGTTTTGAGCAACGGCTGCTCCATAAGTAGAAAAATGCCTGACAGGGTCATAGGCAGTTGAATTGAGGGCTACGTTGGGAAGCACCTCTTGGCCACTGGTTAGATGGCAGGATAAAGATGGGTTTGTGAAATAGGAATTCATATCGTCCTCTATACCTGGCTGTGTGATTTCTTTAATATTTATTTCTGTCTCCAGTTTGTAGTCTGAACTAGATTGTTATAGGGAAGGCTCTGCTCCAGGACAGACAAAATGACAAAGTCAGCTGACCCGGGGGGAGCCAATGGGGAGGCGGGTGTCAAAAAGGGGAAAAATTGCTTTTTGCTTCTGTTGATTCCCCAGTTGCAACTAAGTGGGCATGCAAAGTCAGGCTGTACCC